CACTGGAAAGGTGACTGTGATGCAGAAAAGCTCAGGGTCATGGGGAACGGATTTGGCACAAATAAAGCCGATGTCTGCCTTTGAGGAAAAGGCCATAAATTCCCTAACTTCTTGCGAGCCACAACCAAGTGCTTATGGGACCCGAAAAGGACGCCGGCAGCCAATGGAGCATCATCACGTTTGCGTCCCTGAGAGATGTGCGGCCTCCCGCCGACGCCTTCTGGCATCATCGGGGGACACGCCACCATCACATCAGAGCGGCTGGTGTGGGATTTGGTTAAAATGCCGGGGAGAAGACTGGAGTGTGCTAGAAAGGCTGTGTCGCTAGCGTTCTCAATGACACGAGGGAAAGACACGGACAGCCGAGTCCAAAAGTGATTCCCAAGAGTCGGGCTTTGGATATGAATTTCTCTAAGCACCTAAATCAACTTGCTTTGATTTTATGCGATTTTCATATATGCACAGAGTTCTATAAAATAAAAATCTGTATTTAAATAGGTCAGAAACAATTCTTTCCATAAAAGCACTGTGTCACTGTTTAATTAGCATAATTTTTTCTCTCTTAATAGTCCACAAAATAGCAGTGCCTGAAAACAGCATCTCAGAGTTGATGAGACGCCGTGATGACCTAGGGTGGTAGGAATGGGAATGGAACAGAGAGGAGGTGTGCATCATGAGATTTTATGAAGGAAGGATGTAGAAGGCAACATGTACACTCATCAGTCAGCTATGTGAAGGACTTATTTCATTTTCCAGGTGCTTTCCTATTAGGATTCTGGGTTGAGCTGTCAGAAGCTATGGAAATAACTCAGGTCAGCATGTATTTCTTAACTCAAGATAAGCAGTGTGCTAGATCTGGGTTCAAAGAAGCATGAAACATAATGTCTTTTCATAAGGAACGTTAGCTCCTCCTTGCAAAGACATTTGTACTTAACATAGCCAATCATCATAAAGCAGGCAGAAAATGAAGACAAAATCTCTGAGTGACGGGTGGTATTAGAGATTACAATTATCCAAATCCTAACATCCGGCATTAGAGGGAGAAGTTTAAATTAAAATTATGCTGTGTGTCCGAATAACACAGTACTATATGTATCTTATTATTTTTAAAAGATTTTATTCATTTGTCAGAGAGAGAGAGAGAGAAAGCACAAGCTGGGGGAGTAGCAAGCAGAGGGAGAAGCAGGCTCCCCACTGAGCAGGGAGCCTGATGCCGGACTCGATCCCAGGACCCTGGGATCATGACTTGAGCTGAAGACAGACGCTTAACGACTGAGCCACCCAGGCGTCCCACTGTATACATCTTAAAGACCAGATTTCATCTCAAGTTTGGGGAAGTTGTTTCTTTGAGCTCTCAATTTAGAGATTAAATAAAAATAATGAAAATAAACTGAGCTAGATCTATGCACCTAAAAAGTTCTTTAGCAAGATTAACTTTTGGCTTATTAACTCATGCCACGTAACAGAAGATTCACCCATACCTACCTGCAAGCTTCTTGAGAGTGACAGTATTAAAAATATTGAAGTAGTGAACACCAAAAACTTTTCCCAGAGATTTGCAGACTTCTGTCAGTTCTCCAAGACACTTCTTCACCACCTCTTCCCTCTGAGATATGTTTGCCACTAACGCTTTCTGTTTTTTCACACTGGTGGAATTTTCCGTTTCCATAAAGTCTACCTTTGAGAGAGAGAAAGTGATCACAGGAGTGGGTACACACGCACTTGTATCCAAATACAGGCTTCATTTAATTCTTAATTGCATTTGTGTGCCCTTTTTTTTTTTTTCTTGTTTTGTATTTCTGTTATGCTAAGTAGCTATAGCAAGCCCGTTAGGAATAGGGGCTGTGCATTCCTCATTTTTACATCTCCAGTGCCTGGCACAGAACAGCTTCTTGATAAACGTTTACCTAATGAATGTATGATGATTCAGAGATCGGACGACCCAACTGAATTTACTTTGGCAGGTGCTACATTACTTGGGTTCTATTTTAAGCTCTCTTTCCAGATTAAGAGGAACCGAGTATGTTCATAGGACAGTATATATAAATTCAGTATCCATAAGCTTTGGAGAAGACCCTCTAATTTGCAGTAATATATTTTTGCCCACTACTGTAAGATAATTAAAATAAACATTTAGAACATCATACCTTTAAATGCCCATTTAGTACAGTTTGGGCTTTATTTCCCAGCATTACATAGGCAATCGGCTGGTCATTGGCGTTGATATATAAGTCTTCATCCAAAATCTTGTCAAGTATCAGTTTTTTAAAAAGTCTTTCGGCATTGTGTCGTGAGTAAGTAGAGCCCTTTCCAAATATCCCCGACTGAATTTTTGCGCTCTTACTCCCTGGCAAGGAGGCCCAAGGAGTTAGATTAGTAAATGTAGGTACGTCAGAAGCCTCTAGTAGGAGAGGCTGAAAAAGTCATTTATGGACAGGTCTGGATAAATGGGGTAGATAATCTGTTCCACAGGAAAACCCACAGCACAAGTAGACACCCATTTCCATAAAATGAGAATATTTGAGTAGAACTCTAAAGTTTCTATGGTTCTATGTACTTTTCCTCATCTTTTTATAACATGCATTGACCAAAACCAGCAGCAAAATAAGGCTATCATTTTACGATGGTGCACTTACAACTTATAAAATTACATTAGAGCAAAGAAATCAAAGAGAGAGTTTACATAAACTTTAAGCACTTCATATCACTGTGCTACATTAGGATAACTGTGCATTACTGATCTAGTTACAAAAAAATTTGGACAACCATTTTCACAAATACTATGTCTGGTCCTATACTGAAAGCACTACTCGTGTGCAGTCCAATTACTGAAGCCCATACTTTTTGTGACCCTCACAGAGGAAGCCTTTAGACTGTTAAGACAAAAACACATCACTCCAGGAGACTGCGTCCTTTCCTCCTCCTCCTATTGGCTAAGAGCACCACACTGGGCTGGATCTTTGGTCTCATATCCAATCTGCTGTAATTATTAATGTCTTCATTGTAAACACAACTTTATTATTGCAATCTACTTAAGAAGGCTTGTGATGCTGATTATAATCAGAATTAACAGTTACTCTGTAAAGCTTTAGTTCTATTTTAAGAGTTCCAAATAATTACATTAGTGTAAATGTCAGATGGCTTCTGGTCATATATGCCTCATGATTCAAGTTTTCCTTCCTTTAGTGGTTTGTATCCCTAAAACATCACATTACAGGACTAGCCCTAGTACTGGGGATAACTAAGCAAGCTGGAAAAATAAATAAACTTAAATTAAGTAAGGGGGGGACTGGTTTGAGTTCGAGCCCCACACTGTTTGTAGAGATTACTAAAAAAATAAAGCTGAACCACAATTTTCTTAAAAACATGAAAGAGCTAATGAGAAACTGGGTATGTCAGAAAAATGCTTGATTTAGTAATCTTTCTAGGAAACTACATGAAAGGTGCAATCAGAGATGCAGTTGAAGGTATACTTAAAAGGCCATTTATCACATCATTATGTATAATAGAAAAATATGTCCTTAAATAAGACTACTTAAAAACATCTCATCAATATGATAAAATATAAATTACTAAAAATTACTTTAGAATAAAAAAATTAAGAAATGCTTTTATCTTGTTATATAGAAATGATATAAACTATATGTACAATATGATAAATATGTGATTGTGAACAAATACATCTTAAAATATTAGCATTTTTTTCTGGAGTTACTTGTATTTTCTACACACTGCAATGTGGAGTGATCACATATCAGTCTTATAATACATTATTTTATCTGCAACCCCTTGTTCCTCCTGACTCCCGAAAGAAGTCCAAACTCAAAGGCAAAAATCCAGAAAGGGGGGCGCCTGAGTGGCTCAGTCAGTTAAATGTCTGACTTCAGCTCAGGTGATGATCTCAGTGTCCTAGGGAGTCCTGGGATCCAGCCCCACATCAGGCTCTGCGCTTAGCAGGGAGTCTGTTTCTCCCTCTCCCTCTCCCTCTGCCTCTCCCCCTGCTTATGCTGTCTCTCTCTCCCAAATAAATACTATCTTAAAAAAAAAAAAAAGGAGGGACGCCCTGGGTGGTTCAATCCCTTAAGTGTCTGCCTTTGGCTCAGGTCATGATCCCAGAGCCCTGGGATCGAGCCCCGCGTCAGGCTCCTTGCGCAGCGGGGAGACTGCTTCTTCTCCCTCTGCCCCTCTCCCTGCTCGTGCTCTCTCTCTCTCTCTCTAATAAATAAAATTCTCCCCCTGCCCTCTGCCCCTCCCCCTGCTCGTGCTCTCTCTCTCTAATAAATAAAATCTTAAAAAAAAAAGAAAAGAAAAAGAAAAAAGAATCCAGAACGGGAAGACCAGCACTAAAAGTTGCTTTTGTCCGGAGGAAAGAGCAGATCCAGAAGGAATAGTTGAGGAACTGAGTAAACCACATTCCTACACCAATCTAGGTTATTAATGTTTTAAAAAATAAATGCACCTATTAATTGCTTTATCTATTTTTTAAATTAAAGTAAGGTATGTACATGGGAAAAATAAAATATAGTACAGAAAGGTTTAGGATGAAAAGCAACATTCCTCTGTCCCATCCTTCCCTCCTCCCATCCTCCTCTCTTCTGGAAAGCAATCATGTTTTATTATTTTTTTTTTTTTCATAGTAATCTCTACTCCCAATGTGGGGCTTGAATTCATGACTCTGAGATCAAGAGTTGTGCTCTTCCTGGGGCACCTGGGTGGCTCAGTCAGTTAAGTGTCCGACTTCGGCTCAGGTCATGATCCCAGGGTCCTGGGATCGAGCCCGCATCGGGCTCCTTGCTCAGCGGGGAGCCTGCTTCTCCCTCTGCCTGCCGCTCCCCCTGCTTGTGCTCTCTCTTCTCTGTCAAATAAATAAAATAAAACCTTAAAAGAAAAAAAAATATATATTATATATATAAAAGAGTTGTGCTCTTCCTACTGAGCCATTTGGGCGCCCCAAGGCAGTAATTTTTTTTTTTTTTAAAAGATTTTATTTATTTATTTGAGAGAGAGAGAGCATGCTCAGCGCACACACAGGGCACAGACGAGGGTGTGGGGAGGGGCAGAGAGGGAGGGAGAGGAAGAAGGAAAGACTCCCAAGCTGACTCACGAGCCCTTCTCAGGACTGAGATCATGACCTGAATGGAAGCCAAGAGTCGGATGCCTAACCGACTGAGTCAGCCAGGCACCCAGTCCTGTTTTAAATAGCTTTTGTTTTCAGCTCTTCTGGTGGCCACCTCCACAAGGAACCTAAACCCTTGCTGTCATTCCACTAGCCAGAGCCACTGCCTGACATTGACCTACTGACCCCCCACCACGTAAGATGAGGCTTCATCTCATTAGACTACTCCCTATACTTCGCCTTGCCCCAAATTCGGCTAGTTATATAATATTGTTTAATCTATTGATTATTTTGTTAACTTTATTTTTATTTTATTTTTTTAGATTTTATTTATTTGACGAGAGAGAGAGAGAAAGAGTGAGAGAGAGAGCGAACACAAGCAGGGGAAGCGGCGGGCAGAGGGAGAGGGAGAAGCAGGCTCCCTGCTGAACAAGGAGCCTGACGCAGGGCTCAATCCTAGGACCCTGGGATCATGACCTAAGCCAAAGGCAGACACTCCACCCAGGTGCCCCTATTTTGTAACTTTAGACAGAACTTCTGGTTACTCTACCTTTTACATAGGAGGTTATGAGCACCCCAAGCCTTTTATTTATTGGACTTTTATTTTTACATCATCAAGGTTAACACCTCCTGTCCTGTTCTCTAAACATATTTCAGTCTATACGTTGACTCTAACTGTTGCAGCTCGTTAGCAGTGTTTATGACAAGTTTCCTTCCCTACTTAGAAGGTCCTGACTCCCGTGCAACCCTCAGGAGAATGTCTAGTGCACCCAGACAACTGGATTGCTTTTTGTACATCTTATCAATTACTCAAAATCCTGTAACAATTTCCTTTGTTTTACATTTGACCTTGGCTCTCTTTGTATAATCTTTCCCATGGAATTTCTAAATGTCTTTCTCCTTCTGTTGAGAATTAACATTTACATTCTTTACTGCCATCAAAAAAGATCATTTCTTATTCCTTCTCACAATGCTTGGGACCTATTTTTCTTGACTTTGTTACAATTTGCACAGACTGCTTACTATACTGTGGATCCGGGCTTTCTTTTCCCTGGACTGATGGGTCAGTTCCCCTGTTATAGTATCAGAATGAGTGCACTCACTCTTTTTTGCCTTCTAGCCTCTAGGGTTGCTGATATTAATCACCAGTTTGGGTTTGGTTTCTTTCTTTCCAAAGTTTTCAGGATTATCTCTGAAGGGGTCCAGAATATGCCACTGTGGCATAAAAATTATTTTGAGCAGGCTTTTGAGTTCCTGAAACCTCTTATCGGCAAAAAAGCAGAGACCCCCCCCCCCAAAAACCTCAACTGTCATAAATTCTCTCCCTGAGAGCAACCAAAGAAGACTAATTCTTATCATTGGAGATGAGAAGTCTCCATACCACTCCTAAACACTGTCACAAAACTATTCTATCTCCCTCTCATCTATTCTCCTAAGGGCCCACTTATCTTTCCAAAAAATCATTTGTTTTTCCGTAAGTGTTCTTCTCCCCCTCCCTTTCTGCTATTAAGATGGTATATAAGCCCCAATTTTAATTGGCCCTTTGAGTCACATTTTGATGAAATCTGTCTTTTGTCAGTTTAATTCACAGGCTCCCAACCACTAAATCTAACAGGATGGAGGAAAAGTTTTTCCTCTCCAACATCAATTTATTCTTGGTATTCTCAAATCTCATGAAGCATCTCCTTTGGCATTCAGTGAACATTTTAATCTGAAGGCTTTTTTCTCTTTCACTCAGGGAAATTTTCTTATATCACTGATTTGATAACTCCCTATATCAAAAATTTTGTCAGATTTCACATCTCTTAAGAATTGATCTATATTTTTTCTCTCATATTTTCCATATATCTTTTTGCTCAGGTCTCAGGAAATTTTCTTGACTTTATCTTTCAACATTTCCACTAAATTTACTTTGTCAATCATTTAAAATTTTTAACAGCTCTTGGAATGCCTGGTTGGCTCAGTTGGAGGAGCCTGCGACTCTTGTTCTTGGGGTTGTGAGTTTGAGCCCCATGTTGGATGTAGAGATTACTTAAAAATAAAATATTAAAAAATAAATTTAATTTTTAAATTTTTTATTAAAAAAAATTTTTTTTTAAGTTTTATTTATTTGTCAGAGAGAGAGAGAGAGAGCACAAGCCGGGGGAGCGGCAGACAGAGGGAGAGGGAGAAGCAGCCTCCCCGCTGAGCAGGGAGCCTGATGTGGGACTCGATCCCAGGACCCTGGGATCATGACCTGAGCTGAAGGCAGACGCTTAACTAAGCCACCCAGGCGTCCGAAATAATAAATAAAATTTTTAACAGCTTTCTCACTCTTTGTTTCTTTTCCATAACATTCTATTATTACTTAAGTCTTTGTGAAGATTCTAAATTAGGAGTTTCTCCTCCGTTCTCCCTAAAGCTACTGCTTCTTTTCTAAATTCTCTCTATCCTCAGGGTCAAAAACTTATTTGGTTTCTCTGATTGCCCAGTTGTATTTACCTTCAGGGATCAGGTTAAACTTTTGAGGTGGATTTCCTCTGTTATTAAAAAAAAAAAAAATTTTTTTTTTAAAGATTTTACTTACTTGTTTGAGAGAGAAGCGTGAGCGCCCGGGGGGAGGGGCAGAGGAGAGAGAATCTCAAGCAGACTCTCCACTGAGTGTGGAGCCCGATAAAGGGCTTGATCTCACGACCCTGAGTTCGTAACCTGAGCCGAAACCCAAGAGTCAGATGCTTAACTGATTGAGCCACTCAGGCGCTCTTCCTCTGTTATTTTATATCTATTTCCTCTCAAATTCCTCCCCTGAATGGGAATATCCAGGTTTGCTTTCGGGTAAGTGGGTGGGCTGGGTGGTCCCCAAATGCCACTTAGGCGCTCTGGCCCCTAACTCAGCTGCCTTTCTATTCCTTAGGCCATTTATTTCTGTTCTAGAATCAATTCCAGGCTGGCATTTGCTGCAGTTCTTTCCCCCCTATTTCTGGCTCCTCTGCTTTCACTCCCACCCCCTTGGACCCATAGACTCAGTCTGAGGCCTCCTGATCAGTGGAGTTCTGCCTGGTCCATAGTCCCCCCCCTTCTATGACACTTGCCTCTACATTCATTTTGCAGGTGGCTTATTGTTATTTCATTCCACATGTCACCATGCTTCTAACCATTTCCTAAAAGATTTGAAAAATCTTGAATCTGATGATGGTCTCCCTCTGGTTCTCTATGCCCTAATGAATTGAATCCCCATTTTATTTCCTATTATTTTAATAGGGTCTCAAACAAACAAACAAAAAGAAGACATACTTTTACCCAGGCTGCCATCCGGAACTGGAAGTCACTCAACAGGTAATTCTCCAAGCAAGTTATATTCCACTAATTCAGATGAAATTGTATATGCTATAATAACTTCTGTGTATTTATTTATTATTACTATTATATTTATTATCATATAGTTGACATACAGTATTTTATCAGTTTCAGGTGTACAACATAGCGATTCAACAATTCTCTACATTACACTATGCTCAGCATGATGGGTGTAGTCACGTTATTACAATGTCATTGACGACATTTCCTATCAGGTACTTCTCATTCCCATGACGTATTCATTTTATAACTGGAAGTTTGTACCTCTTAATCCCCTTCACCCATTTTGCCCTATTATTTGTTCTTCTGAATGTGAAAACCTCACCTTAGTAACATATAAATCCTATATAAATAATTGGTATAATTCAATAAAGTTGATTTTCTTTCATTACTCGAAAAGTTTTATTCTGAAATCTTTAATTTCTACAAGACAGACAAGAGAGATTTTTTCTATGTACTTGTGATGAATTCTTTAGATGTTCAATTTTATTTTTAAAAATATTTATTTATTTATTTGAGAGAGAGACAGAGTGCACGCCTACGTGAGCGAGCACACAGAGGGAGAGGGAGAGGTAGAAGCAGGCTCCCTGCTGAGCAGGGAGCCCAATGCGGGACTCGATTCCAGGACCCTGGGATCATGACCTGAGCCAAAGGCAGACGCTTAACCAACTGAGCCACCCAGGTGCCCCTAGATGTTCAATTTTAATTGCTATAACTCAAACAATAAAAAAGATAACTTACCCAAGAAAATGTCGACCAGCATATTCATAGTAAATCTCCCAGAAGGACCTATATGGTTTTTATTTCTTGTTCCTTGCGATGAACTATGTTCTTGAACAAATCTGACAATATTTTCTACATCATCAGTCACATCTCTTGTCTTATAATCCTATGAGTAAAAAGAGATTACCTTCTGCTGTAATTAAGATGATACTTAGATCACTAGGGTTTCACACTGTGGTAGTCTCATAACAAACCATTTCCACACCAAAACCAAGATCCAAGCCCAAATTTCAAATGTTCTTTCTTTTCTATGCTCTTACATTAAGCTTGTGTCTAGAACATTAGCACTCTACGACGTCTATGTTATTACTGGGTTACAGACATACCTCTCAGCATGCTGTGGGTAGGAGTATCCTTTGCTCCTTTTCAAACCCTTCATACCCTCTAGAACAGTGCTCTGTCACTTGGATGGTGATTTCTGGGATCAAAAACACTGTCCAACCATGCAAATCTGTGAGTTCTGATCACTTTTGGGGCTTTGGTGTCATAGTCAACCCTTTTAATGATCTCCTGTCAGTTCCCTTTCTCCATCTCCTCACTGGTCTCCAAACTCGGCCTACTTTTTAAAGCCCCCATTACTGTATGGTCTGTCTGCTTTCATCCATCCTAGATCTCCAAACTAGCAATACTAACCAGCCATTGTTCTCAAAAGCAGCATCATGCTTCTGGCCTCTGTCTATGCAGCCTCCTCACCTTCTAACCTTTGTTCCTCTGCCACAATCTCACAACCTCAAGACAAACAGGTTTCTTGTCTTATTCTAACAGTTAGTAGTGATTCTGAGGCTCTATCTAGAACCATCACGAAACAGTGCTCTGTCATTCTCTCCAACACCATTCCTGCCTTAATTCTTGGTGACTCAGCAGACAGATGATCCTCCCATCTTGGCCTCTGGCATCTTGAGCTCCTCTGCCCCACTGACCCCATCTTCCACGTATGCCCGCTGCTCACTCCCTTGGTCACACCTACGACCTTGGCCTCACTAAAATCAGCAACCCCTTCATTCTCTGACAGCCACCTCGTGCCATCTAGTATATTCTGATTCCAACAGGCCACTGAGCCTGACTATCCACTCACTCCCATCCTCGGATGCTCCCCTAACTCAGCTTAAATTCCATAACCCCTCATATACCTTCAGCTTCTTTGCCCTCAGGTCAATTCATCCCATTCGTTGTTTGACGATACACACTAGATCCAACTCTTCACCATTCTGTGCCTAAACCTCGGTAGCCAGAGACCTTGGCTGGAGAAACACATGCAACCATGTGGAAAGTCTGCACTTTCAACACATGGCCACAAACCTCAAGTGGACCCTTCACGCAGCCAGGTAATCATCACACATCCTTGGTGTCCCACTCCTCTGTTCTAGAACAGGAGTCAGCACACTAAGGCCTGTGAGCTGGATGCCTGTTTCCGTACATCAAATTTACTGGAACACGGCCATGGAAAATCGATGTATTTATTGTTTATGTCTGCTCTTGGGCTAAAAGAGCAGAGTTGAGTACTTGTGACAGAGCCTGTGATTCTAAGGCCCACAAAGCCTACCGTACGCACTCTGGCCCTTTAAGATAAAGTTCGCTGACCCTTGTCCTAGATGACAAGACTACTTCACTTTCTCCTTTCTCTTCAATCCCCTCTCTTATCCTGACTGTCAGATGACAACTTGGCCTGCTACTTCACTGAGAAAACTGAAGCAACCACATAGAGCTTTCACAAACTTCCCTCACAACATCGGTCACCAGCAAATGCCCCACATGGTCTTCTCCCTCCTCCTGCTCTTACAGATGAAATCTCTCGGTTCCTGCCTGAAGCCAATCTCTGGACTTGCACACTAGGTCCCCCTCCCCCCCACCTATTCAAGGACATTGCTTCAGTGGTTCTCCCCTTTCCTTACACATCAGCTTTTCATCCTATGCAAGTATGTTCCTATCAGCCCAGACAGATGTTACTTCTCCTGTCTTTTCCTGACTCCACTTCCCTGCCAGTTGCCGTTTCATTTCTCTGATCATCCTTGAAGCAAAACTTGAAAGAGTTCTCTGTATTCGTCGCCTCCAGGTTTGCCCCACTCTGTGGAAACTGTCAAACAAATCGAGCCACGTCTTCTCAGTCCCTTCCTGCCTGGCTTAGCGGAAGCACTCCCTCCTCCCTGGGACGCTTTCTGTACGGATTTGTGCTTTTCCTCTTACCTTGCTAATTCTCTTTCTTGGTCTCCTTCTCTAGTCCCTCCTCTTCTCCTTAATCTCTGAATGTCCCAGGACTCGGTGGTTTGGTTTTCTTCTCTTTGGTCTAACTTTATACCCCTGAAGATTTCATCTGCTCTTATGGCTCTGAATACCATCTGTACACCAACCACTCCCAAACTGGTAGGTACCACAAGCCTCTTTTCAGAAATTCTGAATCTAACAGATACATCTAATTCAAAACACCCCAAACTGAGCCGATCTGCCCTGCCAAATGGCCATCCCCAGGCATTTTGGCTGAAGGTCAGTCACACCACCCCTCCAGCTGCAGCTCTGGCCCGTCATCTCTTTCCCCCCGACTGACTCTTAGCCCTGCTCAGCTACACGCGCTCCCTTTGCTATCCCTCATATGCACGGGCATGCCCCCTACACCTGGGGGCCAAGAATGCCCATGTCCAGGGAGCTGCTCAGCTAACTCCCTTTTCAGGTGTCCCCTGCTCAGGCTGGCTGCATCTCTGTGATAAGACTTCCCTGGGCCACCGCACCTGATCCTGCAGCTTGCATCCCACCCACTACTCCTGGCTCCCACACCGCTGAGCTTCACAGACCCTTACACTGTCCGTATTCAGCCTCCCTCAGCCACAACGTAGGCCCCGCAAGGGCAGGGATCTTTTTATTTTGCTCAGTGATGCATCTCAATCTCCTAGAACAGTGCCTGCCACACAGCAGGCATTCAAGTATTTGTTAAACAAGAACTGATACTGATTGGTAACGTCTGCAGGGCAGGCCGTGGGGGGTGCAAATGGACGTGAATCTGCAGACCCCGCCCTCTGCGCTGGCTAGTGCTGCGGATCTTTGTGACTGCTTATCACGCAGCATCATTACAATCATGTGAATACGTGTATGTCTGCCCCCCTCCCGTCTATGACCTGGCCCGCAACAGGCTCGTTTGTGAGTCCCCGGCACCTTGCACAGGCGTTTCAAATAATGTATCAAATGTGAAAATGCTCTGTAAACTGTAAAGTACGGAGACATTAAAACACAGAATTACCAGGAAAGGTAAAATTAAGTACCTAATGATTGAATTTAACAACTTCTCACGGTTATTTTTAGGACAGATGATAGCAAATTCATCTAGAAGCTATTGCCATTAATTCTTTATAGTTTTTAAATAACCAATTTATAGTATAATGTAATTGACCTGATTCAAACACACAGTACACCAGTTATTATAACTCTTCAGAATGAGAACTTCAAATATATATTGGGATTGAATCTAAATATTCTACCTGCCCATGTTGATCTTTTTGGATATTTACAGATTAATGATATTTCTAAAATATTCTATAGTACACACATATAACTTCAATATTTTAGATAGGTCCACGATATTTTTTTATAGGCTTCTAATTCAAAAGCTATTCCACAGAATTACTATTAAATGTTTTCTATTCCAAATTACTATGGGGAGGAAGCCATCTTTCCCCGGTTCAATCCCTGAGGGCCCATTTATGGTAACCTTTGTTATCTTGTATCTTGTATCTAACTTCGCTAAATTAAAGTGTTGGCAATTTCCTGAATTACAAGGAATTTAAAACTTTCTTATTTTACCTTTGTTTTACAGCAATTATCACAAGAAACATCTGGGTATTTCTTACAAAAATCAGGATTAAATCCATTTTCACCAAAGTAAGCCAAAAGCTGTATTCTCCTGCATTCTGTTATATTTTCACAGTAATGCACCATACTATACAAATTATTGAAGTGAGTCTCTCTGGTATGATGGTTTCCATCTTTTTCCACTAAAAGAGGTAAAGAACAAAGTAAAAATACTTATTAGAGTAGGAAAACAGAAGAAAATATCACAGAAATATTTGTAATAGATTCATATAACTTTCAATATTAAATGAAATAAAATTACTAATAGCACTATAGATCAGTATGACATCATTCTATATCATGACCAATCTTGTACTTATGTTTATCCCTCAAATTTTTAGTTTTATAGGAATAAATGAGTAGCTGAAAAAAACGTTCAAATCTGCATGATTCCCGATGATGAAGATCTGAATCAAATTTGCCATATTTATCAGACAAGCATGTCCTTAGCCGGACGTCCCAAGTCAGCAGAGCAGGCAATTACGGCAGTGGGCCAGGCACCTCCCTGGGTATCTGGGGTCCAAGTAGTTAAGCCAGTGGTCCCAAAGCCACGTGCCAAGGAGCCCTGGGGTGCTGCGGTGAACTCACGGGGATGTTGGCAGGGTATTTTAAATTTAAGGGAAACACAGCAATATTCGAACACCACCCAAACTGCCAGTCTGAGGACATGGTGCCCTACACTCCTTCCAATGCCATCGCTGCGAAACTGAACTTTTGGCAGTTGTGATAAATACAAGTACCTCCAGAAAATCCATGTGAAACAGGAAATAAGGGTGGCAGTGTCTAATCTAATTTCAAGGTTTGAGAATCACATGCACATACTTTCCGTTTGTAAGCAACTGAGGTTACTTAAGAATGCAAATAAAATGGTTTTTTCTAGTTTATGACTATTCTTTTTTTCAAAACGTTGCTAAGCATTTAAAACTTAAATGCTTATTGAATTATTTGGACCTAACAATATAGGTTCTGTTAAAAACACAAACGGTCATGCTAAGTTTAAAAGTCTCATTTTTATTTTTTTAAAAAGATTTTATTTATTGGGGCGCCTGGGTGGCTCAGTTGGTTAAGCGACTGCCTTCAGCTCAGATCATGATCCTGGAGTCCCG